ATAGTCCACTCTCTACTCATTATTACGGTTTGGACTTTTTGTATCCAATTACCATTTTCACAATTTTGTTACTACAGTTTTTAAGTATTTCGTCCATATATGAACTAAAAAGTAATGGATTCTGCGTTCCACCCTGTCGCACTCCTTAATATCTCACAAATTTACTGATTTGGTAGTTTTTAACAAATTTCTATTTCTTTTTTACAATGCTTGTAGTGCTTCGTCCACATCAAATTTTCTTTGGCCATTCGAAACGTACTGCCTAGATATTTTGTAAAGGGCGTTCTTTATATGCAGCACAGTTATATTTATTTTAAGTATTTCATGTTCATGTCTGTTACATTTCGTTTAGAAAATATGGGATTTTGAACGCAATGGTCCCTTTTAAACTATTTAGACTAATTTTGTATTTCCTTTTATTGATTTCTCGAGCGTAAGCTAAGGAAGTATAATAAAAAACTTTCATGTTTTATCGATGTTTCACGACCCCTAGAGAAGGAAAAAATATCTGCCCGGTTTCTGTTTACCGTCTGTCTGTTGTTAGTAGCCCACAACTACAGGACAGATTACTGGCAAATTCTGTAAAACTCACATACTTGTGGTTGATGACTCCGCCATGATTTTTACTTACCGAGCATAAGCTAAGAAAATATTATAATATAGTCCAACAAGCGATTGGTTACTTTTATGATTTCTCGACATTTCATGACCTCTAGAATACGAAAAAATAGGTCTACCGTTTCCGGCTGTCTGTCGTTTGTTGTCTGCCGTCTGTGTCGATTTTTGTTAAACAGATAATCTCAGAAACTACTGACCGATTCTTGTCAAATTTTGTATGTATATTATCTTATATGGTAAAACGCTAACCCTAGTTTGGCTTGTCATCCCAACCGACAATTTCACGACGTCATCTCAAAAGGTTCTTCATTAAAATTGTTTAAATATTATACAATAATATGCTCTTACACTTGCGGTGTATGATTCTCCTTGGAGATTTTCTCTTACGCATCCAGATAGATATTCGGAAAAAAATCACAATATAACAATTTACAAGCAACGCCTGCCAAGGAGATCTGTGGCGGAGCGGTTAGGCTCTCCACACTTGTACTAGTAAATCTATACTGGTTTTATTTACAGGGTGATTTCGAAATATATACAATAATTTTAACCACGGCATCACGTACCGTAGTAATGTGGGAATATAGAAAAAACAAATTAAAAGTCGAATGGCGCAAAACCCCCGTGCACCACCCTCGATGCGATGCCGCTAATCCACCTTTTAAACAGTAGGTAGAAAAACGTTCGAATAAAAACGATGTAAACACTTTCAGTGTCAATTAAAAATAAAACCGACTTTTTGCTGGTTATCATTCGTCCATTCATGTATTCATTCATCGTTAAAGGTCAATGCCAAAGATCATTAGATGTAGTGTAGTAATGGTGGTCCTGAGAAGGACCGATTTTTGAAAATGCATCATGGTGATCGACTTTTTATTCTGCCGGATGTTTGGTTCTTGTCACAACGATACCACATTGTTTATTAGAACAAAAATAAGAGCAATTTAGAATGCTACAACCTTTTTACAATAAATGCTGAAAATGCTGTCCATGACTAGCAATACAGGCTTTAGCACGTTGCAACACGTTTGCACGGATACGTAAAAAAACTCCGGGAGTTCTACGAACTGTAGCGGTTGTCACTTCCATTCATTGAAGCTCTTCGATAGTTTCTGGACACTGTTGATTTCCATAAACTAACTGTGTCATGTAATCCCACAGACAAAAATCACACGGATTGAGATTGGGTAAACGGGGAGGCCAAGCTACTGGGCCATTTCTACCGACCCACTGGTTAGGAAAACTATTCAGTTACTAGCCTAGCAAAATGGGGTCGTGCATAAGGTTCAACTAAGTGGTCATTTACGATACCTGCCTACACATTTATGCAAAATTGTCCTTAAATCGTACTTCTTGACGAGCGTGTGGATTTTCATCGGACCAAATGTGAGTGTTGTGGCTGTTGAAAACAGCATTGCGAGTGAATCCTGCTTCATACACTCCTCGACAACTGATTAACCTCAGCCCCAATTTTCTATATTTTATCATAATTATTGCTGCTTTTTCAAAAATGATTACTTGAGAGCAAACAAAATAAAGTTATTTACAGATATGCAGATTTTTTTTGTTTCTAAATTAAAGATTGAAACGTATGAAAAGTATGGGAGAAATAACCATGGTGGAGTAAAAACAGCGACTACTCCCAGAAAAAGGCGAAACATTTTATGTGGAGCGTCAAATTCTACTCCAACAGCAAGAAAAATAGGACACTCTGTAGGTAGTACAGCAAGTGTAAGGACAATTCAAAGGATAATAGAAGGTTGTCAACATCTAAAACGATGATGCCTAAGAAAGAAACCCAATCTAACAGCACGCCATAAAGCAGCAAGATTAGAGTAAATATATGCTAGAAACCGTATGGACTGGATCGACCAGTGGCAAGAAGTAATTTTTACTGATGAAAAACGGTTTTGTTTGGATGGTCCGGATGGTTTCCAACATTATTTCCATGACATAAGAAAAGAAAAAAAATATTTGTCCCGGCGTCACAACAGAGAAGGAGGAATAATGATATGGGGCGCTGTTTCTTTTAAAGGACCCGTGCATATGGAAATTTTAAATGGAGTGCAAAATGCCCAAAAGTATCGAGATCTTCTTGCCACAGCAAAACCCGTTATTGAAGATGTCATGTAAGGTGGAGAGGGGGTTTTCCAGCAAGACCATGCTGCAATTCATACGGCAAGGCTGGTGCAACAATGGTTTAGAGAAGAAAATATTCAAGTCTTAGAATCGCCAAGCAATTCTCCAGACTTGAATATCATTGAAAATTTGTGGGGTTGATTATCAAGAAATATTTATGAGGGAGGACGACAATATCAGAACACTGAAGCATTAGTAAATGCAATCAGAGCAGCTTGGGCCAATATGCCAATATCCCACAAAGTTTCTTAAATTCCTTATATCGTTCACTTCCAAATCGCATATTTGAAGTCATAAATAAGAATGGGTCCCATACTCATTATTATTAAATGTAATTTTGTTATTAAATAAAGTTGTTAGTTTATGATTCTTTGATAAACAGCGAAAATTTTACTGGTGAGGTTAATCAGTTGTCGCATTTTTATTAATAATTTTATATAACAAATTTTTTTCTTTAACTAAGAAAACATAAACAAAATTGCAATATGCGTAAATAGCTGTATTTCCAAACGGTAAATACCCTATTTGTTAAAAAATACTGTCGCCATCTGGTTTAATTTAATTTCAAAGAATTTTTTTCTAGACATTGCTACCACTTAGGAACGTGAACTTTACACGTGACAATACATTTTATTGTGAGCTATTCCCAATTTTTTTATTGTAAATATTTGAGAAATAAACCTGTATGAGGACTCACAAAAAAGGAAAATTTCGCATAACCAAATTTTATAATTTTTCAAAGCAGGATTTGTTGTACCGTACTTCAGGAACGATGGAAGTTCTGCCTAATAACATGATAAGATGATTTTTTTTAATATTCTTAATATTGTGGGGCAAATAAAATTGCTTCCAAGATTTATAATGATATTTGGTATTAAACAAAGAGTACACGTCTCAAAGAAGTGCATTTTGAAATACATAATTGAAAATACAACTAACAACACCGTCCTATTAAATCTGAAATTTGACATATGGGGAAAACAAAGATAGACTAATTTATATCCAACTGCAGATTTTGGAAGGGTTTTGATACCACCGTGGTTTTGACGTTTCAAAACGTTTTAAAGAGAGATAGTAAACTCAAATTCTACAAACGTTAATACAGCGTGTTATTGAAAGGTACGTACAAAATAAAATCGACAATTGGTCTCGAGGTATGGGTGGCAAAAGTTAAAAAAAGTTCAGGTAAAAGTGTTCTGCTTTTAGAGATAAAAATTATTACAATTTATGTACAAATTTGTTGTTCGCCTCTGATAAAAAGATCATCTCTCGTTTCTATGGCAACATTTAGTCTTGACAAAAGTTTTGTTGTTACAGTTGCTAGGATTTACTAAAATAAATTAATTTTACCTATTTATCCTTCAGTAGCGTCTAAAAAGGTTGGATAAAGGTTAATTTTCCCCTTATAATTTTGATAACACAAAATAAGATTTTCAGACTTCTTAGGCTTCGCAAAGGACTGTCAATTTTGTTGTACGTACCTTTCAATAACACCCTGTATAATTGACTTCATTTGTTTTTGCTTGCGTGTTCCGTGATGACAAGCTTGACGTTCCCTGAAGTTTTAACGGCATAATATGAAAATCACCACTGGAGTTTTTTTTTTGTTAGAAACTGAAATCAACAAGTGGTGGTTTTTTAAATTTGGCAAAAACTATAACATGAGGTAGAAAATTGTCGCTACCACAGCACTACACTAATAAATATCTCTTATCAACTGCAGAATAAATTGAGGTATTTTTCCATAAATTTGTCTAGTACGTCACCACAATGTTGATAACGACCTTTAGAGTCCTGTTTACTTTTATAGTTTATGTGGATATAGTTTTTCAAATTCTTTCTAATGCAAAATTGTAACAGATGTGTGATACTCATTACTTTACTAGACACACTCACAAATATGCAGTTATGCATGAATCATGCATTTCACGTGTAATTCTAGCTGTAATAATGATTATTAGTTCAAATTCTTGGCTGCTCTATTATAGAATTTTTTTGCCTTGGAGCCATTTTTTTTAAATGCATCTTAAAACTGTTTCCTTGTCCTCACACGAACCTGGACTTCTCTCTGTTGCCGCTGCAAGTGACAGCATCGGGCTACCACTCGTTGTCCTCCGAACAAACCGCAACAGCTTGGCGTGCGAACGCGAATAAGTTGCACAAAGTTTCCATCTCCGTCGCGTATTCTTCGGCAACTCGGAGAGTCGTCGGCCACCGGCTTGGCACTAGCAGACGACGACACAGACGTCGCCTTGCGCATCGCCGACCAATACAGAGCGGTCAGGGCGAGCGGGAAGCAGCAGCACATGTGTTTGCGAGTTTTGAAAGTTCCACCGGCAAGCATTCAGTGTTGTGCGGCTTGTGTGTTCGGACAGCAGACAACAGCATCTTGGTCCAGCCAAGTCCTCTGAACGCGCACAGTGCAATGACTTATTCCAGTTGGTGAGTGTGCCGTACCGATCTGTAACGTCATGGGTGCCTTCAAAGACACCCCCAGACTCCTGTGGTTGTGCATCTTCGCAACTTTCTTCCTTACTGTTCTCGACCATGCGGTGGATCAGGTGTCTGCTGAGTCTAAGGTGGGTTTTCTGCTTACCAGCGATTTGGCCTTCCAGCGGAAATTCGCATAAAATTCCCAGTAATTTTGCTACACGAGCAAATATTACGCTTATTGCACAAAAATGAAAAAAAAAATGAAGCGAGAAGATCATCACCATTTTTATTATTATTCATATTACAAACTTGCCCCATTGATCAATACTAAAAAACTATGATACATTCAAATGTTTAACTTCTTTATTGTACTTAAGATATGTTTTTCTCTGTACGACCACCGCCCCAACATTATTATTATTATTGCGAAGGAATTTTGCAGAGCGATGCCCGCAATTGAGCAATTCGACAAAATGCAGCACTAAACGTGAAGATTTCTGAGTCAACGCGTTGTTGGAACCGTGGACCGCAATTTTATTTGGTTCAATCGCGTTCAATTTAAGTAATTATAGAACATTTGCCGGCTGGCCACGTGCGTCGAATATTTGGCTGCATTTGTCCAGCGATGAGATTTGAATTATGATCTTATTAAGTAAGGCAAGATCTCGGTTATCTGCTAATCCCTTTATCATCGGTGTGTGCTGTATTTTTCGAGGTATTTTTATTTACATTCTGGATTCCAACAAATGTCATTTCGGGCTTGATTGTTCAGGGCACACGTAATTATATACCCACTGGAAGAATAATGAAGCAAATTACGGCAGATCATGCATAAAATATGATCCCTTGTTTTGTAGTTTACAATAGACGTGTTTACAATAGTCGTTTTTGTGGGTCTGAACAAAAAAGTAAAAATCGGGGGTAAAGGTATTTACAAAATGTGGAACGATTTGGAAAGCTGAAGATAAGTTTTTCTGTTTTTTTATGTTCAAAAATGTATTTTCTTAAGATCTGTGCACGCGTTGCATCTGTTTGGTAACTAACTATTTGTAGTTCTTTTGTTTTTTAATATGCAATAAAAACGGTTTTATAAAAAATTTAAAGTTAAAAAATTCTTTCGTGTTGAATATAAAAAAAATGTTAACTAACTTATTATTAATATTCCTTCGTATTTTTTAAAATGCTTTATTTATCATTGTGAAAACCTAGAACATAAGTAAGTATTTCCAGTTGCCAATTTCGCTCCTGAAAAACATTGCCCTGTATTATTGAAAAAGTTTTATTTCAGCAACAAAACTAGATATTGGAATCCTCTAATTCATTTAGACGTTTTTTGCTGTGGCTTCAAACGAGGCAATAAATTTGTCTGTTTTGAGAAGTCAAGACAATAGTGAATGCAACAAATTTTCCAGTAGTTCTCTAAATTTGATCTTTGATTAATATTTATTTATATGTCAAGGCTGAAGGTGCAATTTTGTGGACCAGAGGCTTAGAATATTTAATATAAATTTGAGCTTCGAGCGTCAGCGAGACCTATCTCAAATCTTATGCATGATCGTTTTAATTTGTGTGAAGAATTATAATGTACGTGTTTATCTAGTGCTCGTCAAAAAGTCAATTTTCCGTCTTGGATGACGTATGCATAGCAACTTCTCGACCGGTGAGACAAAAATAAATATATAATGTCCTCTTGTAGATACGTTCTTATCTTGTTAATATAATCATACTAGCAAAACAGGCACACCTAAGGATTTTCCAGTTTTAAAAAGTCATATTATACAGTATAAAAATTAAGAAAAAGATTATCCAGCATTGAAATTTCAAATCGTAAAAGCAATTTACACATTTAAACACCACGTGGATGGAACGATTTTTTTAAATAATAAATTTTAATGTCGTTTGTACATAATCCTATTATTATTTATTACTGCGGTTTGTCATTCCTATTTTAAGCCGCTGTCTATCTACCACAACACAAATGTATTAAAAAGAACACATCAGCTGATGTGGTAATAAATAACCAGTTAGATTCATTGTTATCTTCAAAAAATTCAACCTACTGATTTCCATTATGTAATCTATGCATCGATGTTGCAAACAGCTAAATTAAATTTGGGCGTATTGTCCAAAGCTAATGATGATAATATGATTTTAAGTAGTTACCAAATGTTAAAAATTGAAAAAGTCACTAAAAGTAAATTTGGATAACGCAAAATATGATTGAAAAAACTCCTCTAGTAGGCCGTGTATTTTATTGAAATAATGATGTTGGTAATGCAGCTATTTCACCCTTTGTTTGACAGTTTATTTCACAGTAACTGTCAACGTGAAGAAGCACGTCATTATTTTAAAAGTAGATTGCAAAGCCTACTAGAGGAATTTTTTTCCACCACTTTGCTATTTGGAGATAAAATTTTCAGTAAAAAGAAAAACAAAAATAAAACAAAAGCAACATAGTATTAAGTAAATAAATAATTAAGATTATAATTAATATATTTCCCTATCAGAATATTGATAACAATTTTAAAAATAAATATGAAACAAACAGCCCTAAGAAATGCTGTAGAGTCAAACTCCAGGAATTGAAGTTTGTATAAATAGCTTTACACTTTATAAACGTCTTTTGGATAGTTTTAATTTAAATTTGTCATTCTAAATCAGAAAAAATGCAGATTCGCTGCTTTCTTTGAAGTTGCACAGTAAAACAGTAAAAATGGAGGAATAAATAAGTATGAAATAAATCTAAATATTCAGTGCTTGTTAATACCAATTTTGGATGACAAATGCATTCATCTCTGCTACTCAAAAAATAATGTTTGTGTGATTCGTTCGACACTATAAAAATAACTGTTTTATCTAAAATCACTGTTTTTGCACTGAAATATATCTTATGTAAGTATAATAATTGCTTAATCTATACATACGGAAATTTCGAAGAATTTTCTAAGAATTTGGCGTTGTATAGTTCATTACTACCTTGTTTACTAATAATACGTTCTCACTTATTCTAGTTTCCAGAGGAGTAAAAATATGCGTGTTGTTGGAGTTTGACATTAATAGGATTATTTTATAAATAAGCAGTAGTTTTAACATTCAGCTTGTCTTTTTTATGTAGACCAGGAATAAAACTTCCTTATTCTCTACTTTTTTAATATAGAAAAATTCGAAAATTGGACAAGTATTCTTACAACAGTTATAAAGTGCTACCACTGTTATTTTACATTTCTGCAAAAGAATAAATCAAGTTATTACTCCAGTGTACCTTATGTAAGTACATCATTGAAAATTAGTAAAATACATTTTTTACCGTAAACAGTCATCGGTTACATTTTTTTGTTGTGGTTTAAAAATTCATGACATGCATGTGCCGGATCCTCCCCGAAAACAATTTATTTTTCTGTATTTTGTTTTTTCATTCAGTACTAGATCGATTAAATTTTACAAGTGAGTGAAGTTTGCAATGGTTTAATTGCCAGCACACCCCTATCATTATCCACTTCTTCCATTCTACCTCTCCACTTCCACAATTTGAAGCTTTTTACTTGTGCAAAATAAGATAATCCTTTTAGCCAAACACAACAGACTACGCGTCTGTTCATTTTTTAACTGAGATATTAACAAATATGCAAAATTTCCGGAAGATTGGCAAATATTCAAAGCGTGGATTAAGTTTACGATTAGAGAATATATTTGTCCAAGCATAATCTAATTTTAATCAGAATGGGTTTAGTCAACTTTCTTTTGGTGGGATAATGGATTCTTTGATGAACTCGTTAGTTTAAAGAGCCCTTGTAATAATTTAAAAAATTTAAATGGTTGAAATTTTATTGTGGGCTTAGTCGATCGATCGATCTTAATAATCGACCGATAAGGTAATGGTACATGATGGTCGTTTTGATTGATGTTTAAGTGACCCTAAATTTTGAGTCAGACAGACATCGATCAATTAAATTTAAAATTAATTTGGAAATGGTGAACAATAGTTTAAATTATTTCATGGCTTTGTGAATGATTTATGAGAAATTGAGCCATGTAAAATTTGTTTAAGCAAATTGAGAAATTGTGTTTTTAAAACATATAAATCTCAAATTTAATTGCACCGGCAATTAAATTTTTGCACTCGATACTGCAGGCTCTATTTATAAAGGAGTTTTATGCAATTTTTATGCGTTAATTTTTGTACTATTTTGTTTAGACACTGATGCAAGAAACGTTTAAATTAGTTACGACTACTTTTCATACGTAAAACAAATGATGATTTTTTTTTATTTTCAATGTTTGGTGTTGTTTTAAGTTTTGAATGTGTTTACAAAGGAATGATAAGACACAAGTTATATTTTGAACACCTTTATTACTTATTAATTTGTGGAAAAGTTATAAAAATTTTAGTTGTCACAGTGACAACACAATATGAAATTGACCCTGAAAGGTAAGGGGACAATAATTTGATCGTTCTGAACGTACCACAGGATAGTCCTTGCTTTTGTGCCTTTTGTGGATTATATGAATTTTCCGGTTTATTTTACCAGCAATCTGGCCCTTGATTCCATTGGTTCAATAGTAACATTTAGTCTCGCACATCACGTATCGGAACTGTCATGTTAAGCAAAGGCGGATAGTTGTTTCCAACTAACGAATTGACTTGGGAAAACTCTCCATAAGTAAATTCATAAATTGGGGGGTTGTGCGGCAAGCTGAAGAGCGTTAGTGTATCGAATTACATAGGAAGCAAATTCACAACTTTGATGTAATTAAATCGGAGCTTCCCATTCTCATAATTTGAAAGTTCGCTCTGTGAACTTTGAGCTATGCATAGATTTTTTTTCTAGTAATGTAATGGACAGTTGCATTAATATTAGTCGAGTTTAGAGCTCGTCATGACTACTATCTGATAAACTTACTAGTGAACCGATACAGCTAGAATGCTTAACTAAAATTTTAATTGACTCGGACATTCCCTTAAGTTTCGGAATTTCCTAACGTCATGGGCGGATGAAATGATCAAGCTCCGACCTATTTTTGGTCGACATGGTAATTGAAATTTTTTAAATCTTATTGCAAGAATAATACACAGAACTATGTTTAGATTGGACCTAATAAAATTTTAATTACATTGTTGACCATAAAACAGTTTCGTAACGATGTA